CTTTAGGTAGTTTATCACGCGACGTTGCGCCTACGGCTTGGCTTTCTAAGACACGGTAGGACTTCCTAGACAGGTCCCGGGCGACTAAATCGCCTACTGTCTCTCACGGCTGAACTTCCTGCGAAGCTCTGCCCTAGGTGTACTGTCTTGCGACGGTCTACCTTCTCGCTGCACTAAAGGCCTTTCGTACCTATTGCAGCACTAACTCTATGTTACTAGCTCGCACTAACAACACGCTCTAAAACTTAGTTAGAAGACAGTCTACCTAAGGCTTATGTCTAATTGGGATCAAATACAAAATGTAAGTGGCTGCGCTCTAGGGAGCAATCACGAGGTATACAAGAGGTTGTATTCGATAAGGAGCTATCTACTCTGCTTACGTGGTGTTTATTTACTTATCGGAGAAAGGTTATGCCGGAGTATCTGAGCGCGTTGTCTGAGCGCTGCTCGGTCTGAACGTAGTTCAGATGGTGCGCGCGCAGCTTGGCCCGAGATTCCATCGAGGAGCTATCCAAAGGGCGTTCAGCCCGTTACAGCTAACGTAAGCTCCTATAAGAGGCGGTGTTGTACAGGCTTCTTAGAGTTACCTTATTAGGAGCTTAATCTAGGACATCATCTCCTAGTGTGCGACTGCCTGTCTCTTAAGCTGTTTAGCCTGTCGTACGTTGTTAGCTATTAGCTAGTTAATATTTCCTCTCATTGTACGGATAAAGGCGATAGATTTCTCGTCTAGCATAGCTAGGCTAGAGGCTAGTGGCGTTCCTTGTAACTCTATCTCTTTCTTTTTGCGTTATTTCAGTCTCTCTTGTGTCGTACGAGAGAGATTAAAGAGTGTTAATCTTTCTTCTTATATTATAGGCGAGAGAGGCCTAACTAACAAGTATGCATTGACCTATTGTATAGAAGAAGAAAGATATAGAAAAGAACTATCTAGAGGGCCCTTCTTTTATAGTTATTACTCGTACAAACGCTTAGACCTTTAGTCTTCCTCCTTACTTAAGCTTATTTGTACGTAGCTAACCACGTTATTTAGTTACGTGACTAAAGTCATGTGATTCACTACCATGTGACCTGTAGGTCATACCTCTCTGGCGTAGCCCTTTACAGATATATCTAGATTTTTCTTCCTCTATAGTTTTGTGTATATATCTCCATCTTTCTGCTTACTAAGCAAGAACTAGGTCCACTACGCCAAACTGCTAGTTCCCAGCTTTCCAAATCTACGCCCCACTTATTTTCAGCCATTCCATTAGTGAAGTTATTTAACTCTAAAAATCTCTAGTTTTTGAAGCACTTTTTTTACTGTCACCCCTCTGTACTATAAACTAACTAATTATGTACCTATACTAGACGCGCTAGGAAGGTATCAAATATAAGAGTTAGCAAAACAGCTTAGCTGAAACTAAAAGTAAGACTGTAGAGCTTATAGTATATAGAGATGCGTCATGTATAGACAACACTAATATGAGACACTTATCTTATAGATATATTATAAAGCTTTTTAGTAGGCTAATTATATAAAAAGCCGCCTACTAGCTAATAGTAATAATTTCTATAACTAAAGCTAAGCTACTTACACTAGAGTAGGTAGCAAAAGAATCTATAGCATTAAAATAGCTATTTAATAAGCTGTAACTTATTATTAGTAAAGCCTAGAGGATATATAATAACATTTAGCAAACTAGTAGTAGAGTAGTAGTAGTAAGTCAATTATATAAGCGTCTTTTATTAGATACAATATTGCTCCCTCTATAACATATATCTTCTACTACTTATACTATGAACTTGGAATCCTCATGATATCAGTGAAACTTACTATAATAGAGCGTAGACGTAATTGCGCTATTATATAGTGTAGGTGCGTTGAAAAATTCAAATTAATCTACACATACGTAATATTACTAGGCGTATTAATTATATCTTTTTATACATATCTAGCAGTGACTATAAACATTTTATGCCTATTATTAGCGCGTAAAGTTTAATGAAAACACTAACAAAGAATCTTTAAATTAATACACAAAAGGCCGCGGCTATTGTTGCAGTTGATAGGAGTAGTGGTAGTAATAATATTAGTATTAGTAACTAGCTTATTTGATTCAAAAGTAGTAGTAGTAGTATTATTAAAAGTAATTCATAAGTAAGCTACTATACAAGTATTTTCGTTATAAGTATGTAATTCATCTTAATAGTAATCGTTTACGATAGTGTAAGCTACATATAAGAATAATTGATAGAAAATAGAAATAGTATAATTCTAGCTAAATAGCTACTTTTTTTTAACTTATTATCATTAAGCCTATTTTCTGTACTATCTAATGACTTCTAGCTAGTATCTAACCTAAAGTAGCGTCTGAAACGGAGAAAAGAAACAGAGAACCGAACAGGCCCTTAACTGCCGCCCCTCTGCATAGACTATTACATAGAAAGTTTAAGCTCAAGCCAAGTCAGCTTACTAATGTTGCTTAACCAACTATATTTTGTGTCGTTATACTGACTAATGTAATCACGGCTTTTATTGCAGCAAGTCATATGTAAGAGGAATGAGTTACAAAGTCATATATGCATCGCGCACTTAATTTACTATTTTACCTAGACCTAAGAGTCAAGGCTTTCTCCTGATATCTTACACAATTCCCTATTTACGTTGAAATAGCAGCCCTTCTCTGTTGTTTCTAACACACGATTTTCGTAGGTAATCATGTTAACAGCAAAGCATCATTTTGCCACAAGAATCATCTCTTACATACACTAGTTTCTGATGAGAAAGTATCTTCTTGATATCCGAAAGTTAAAACTCCCTGCTTACTCTCTGCCGCTTAACCCATTGTTTAGCCTTTGCTCGTCGTTGTTAGACCGCGGTAGGCCTAATGACGGAGTTAATGATTCTAGTCTTACACTATAGCGTTTTATCATGGCAGCTTTAGCTGCATATCAAATTTAGTTACGGAGGTGACTGTCAAAAGTTCTTGCTGACAGGGGTGCATTGATTACTGCCGAAAATAGGGCCGAAGCTATGTAGATTGGTCCCGCCGCCCCTCTTTGTACTCATTGCCACCTTCAAGTTTAATGATTTCTTGAATATAAAACGGAATACGCTCTATCTAAGGTTGAATTTGGTGTTGAGGTAGCTCATCCCAGTACTGTTGCTATACTTTTGTCCCTTCCGCCCTACTTTTTGGTGCGCCTCTTCGTGTTGTTTTTCTTTTGAGCCATGGCCAGGCTGCTTTAATAGCGTTAAGATCAGGTGAATTGCCTAGCCATGGGAGCTGCTCCACTTCAGCGTTTTAGTATATAGTTCTTTGAGCGTGGTGGGTATGCAAAGGTGCCTTATCTTCTTGAATAAAGACACGTAGTCTCTCTTTTTAGCACTCCTTTGCGAAGGGAATTAGCTTTAGGATAAGAACTTGAGTCTAGTAACGCTACTAATTAATGCCACCACGACTGCTCTCACGAGCTAGCTTACCCGTCTCTTTTACCTATCTCCATTGTGGAACTCTGCCAGGCTTGTTACGTAATCCAAGCCTCTTTATGCCTATTGTAAGCTCCCACGCCTCTCTTATGAGAGGCTCTAGAGCCTTATTTAACTCTTTAATCTAGAGAGCAGCGTCTCTCTTCTCCTGCGCAGTCTTAGGCCTCTAGACATGGCAAGGACCTTTGTAGTCGTACGTGAAGCAGCCCTAGAACATAAATTTAGAGTAGCCCTTCCACCGCTCTCGGATAACACTTTTAGTAAAGACTTTATCTAGGCGTCGCCACACACGATAGCCACCGCGACAGTGGTTAAGAACAACAGAAGTTTTATCTAACCAAATAACGTTCTTCGAATCTTCAAGTGTCTAATCTTTATAGGCAAGACACCACTTAAGTCTTTCCTGTCTTATCTTTGTTGTTAACCTAGGCTTCCTTGTCGGCTTCGTCTTGTTGTAACCAGCTGCTTAAAGGACTCTCTATATAGTAGACGACAAGACGTTGTAGCCGTGAACACTAAGATCACCAGCAATATTAGCGCAGCTCTTCTCTCTCCTATACCTATCGCGGCGTACGTTCTTAAGAGTAGCGTCGTGTATTTCTTCTTGTTTATAAGGGCGGCCTGCGGGTAGGGCATCTTTGAAGTACTGCAAAAGGATCTTAATTAGGCGTGCGTTAGGCTTAAAGCCTTGCTAGCAGGCTCTACTATAAATTAAGTCGATTGTACGCAGCGATATGCCTGTGATTTCTGCGATTTCGCGTGTAGATTTGCTACTAAAAGGTAACTTTAATGCAATAATATAAGAGCGGGTTGATATATCTGTATTTAGAGCCATAGTAGATCAAAAACACTTAAAAAAATAAGTATACAAGCTATCGCTAGCTTTAAAAAATTGGTGTGGGCGCCAAGAATGGTCGGGCCAATAGGCTGGCGGCTTAGCGTGGCGCTAGCAAGAACTTTTGACAGTCACCTCCGTATATATGTAAGCTTAGTTATTGTTTTCATATAAAAGCTTAAAATATAAGACTTTATTCGTAGAATTAATTTTCATTAGGTTTAAAAAGCTCTAATATAATTGATAAAAGAGGTAATAAGATGTTAGGAATCTCTGTCTTAGTGAGTCTCGCCAAGCTCTCGTCACATAACGAACGCCAAAACAGCTAGAACGCCAGAGAAGCTAGAACGCTAGAGAAGCTAGAAAGCCAGAAAAGCCAGAAAAGCCGGAGAAGCCAGAGAAGCTAGTGAAGCTAGAACGTTAGTACTTACAGCCAAAGAAGCAAGAGAAGCTAAAGAAGCTATAACTAACTACTATTATAAGCTATAGTTAACAATATCAATATACATAAGCTCCACAGGACACTCAATAAGTTTGCAACATTTGAAAAGCAGTCAAAGCTGCACCCCTTTTTAGCTCCGTTACGGGCTGTAGGAATGTTTATAAATGTCAGCTGCTCACTCCTCTACTGAAGTTATCATCTGCTCATACCTTAACTTTACTCACCAGCCTTTACATAACTTAGCCTTCGCAATGGTTTTACTTAGGTTCACTACCGTCGCTACTATTATCAGCTTTCACTTGTCAAATCCAGTATCTGCGACACCTATTAGAGAAGATGTTACTACACACGCCTCCGTGCACGACATTATTCCAAGGGAATACATCGAGCAGGTTTTTAATTACCATCGAAACCTAGCGGAAGCTGAATCCCACGCTTCGTGGCGGAGAAATAAAAGAACTCTGTCAATACTACAAAAGCGAATTGTCCCTCGGACCTGTCCTCGAGGTTCCACTTGGATATTTCGAGATTGTATGCCAGATGAAAACGAGCGAGCATGGCAAGATACGTGCCGAGACAACGTCAGTCTTGAGCTTTTCGACGTAGACGGATTGTGCCCTGAAGAAACTGTCTGTGATGATTATCGGCCGTATCTTGGTAGAACCGATGAACATGGTAACCCAGAGCCGGAACATGACATTATCTGCCGGCCAAAGGTCGCACCAAGTCAAGACACCATCACCACCGACCCAGGCACATCGCGAAAGAGTCAATATGGGTACAGATTTATCGAGTTAGCCAACATGAAATCCACGGATATTGCTGTACCCGTATATGTAGAAGTCGAAAATGCGTCTGTAGCTGCTGAGTTTCTCGGTAAGTAATCGCTTATATTTAAATGCATTAGACTCTCTAACACTTCAAAGGCCCAGGAAAACAAGGGGTGTTGTATCCTTCTCAAACTCTGACAGCCAACCTTCGCGGCCATAAACTTAATCTCTGCCGCCAGTTCCAGAATAATCCAATCAAGGCTCACAATACTCGTTCATGCATCCCGACCGACCAGACGAACCACCTCTACAAGGGTCAAACGATTGACTTTACATTTGCAATTCGGGTGGTTAGTACTGCTTATTTCTTCTATAGCATTAGCGCAGGATCTCACAAGTAGCTGAAGTGTAGCATAATGGTTGTTTCTCTTTCTCGTAGATGTAGGATGTTGAAAACATTAGTTTACGTACCAGCACAAAGACTACAAGAGTAAAGTTGAGATATTTCTCTATCCAAGTTGTGCTGCCTAGAATGACTCTCAGTTAATCAGTCAGTCGTCAGTTTATCTATGCGGCTCAAACTGTGAGTCTAAGAGTGTTAGATAGGGTTAATTAACTGCAAAGACCTCTTTAGGGTCGTAACTAAAATCCACAGTTGCTTAATTCATACAAAAGGCTAATAGGCCAAGACCTATCGCCTGTGAGGTATTTTCTATCCCAATTAACGTAGGTCAAGTTTAACCTCATTTCTACTAAGCGTGGGGCATGGAACTTACTATCCCTTAGTAAAGTTACTCTATAATATGTTTTCTCTGCAAGCCCTTTTCTACTCCTATTTCTATAAAATAAAATCTAGACTCGTTTCCCTTGCGGAAGATAGTTCACAATACCTAGTTCAAGACATTTTGGATTTTAGCCTGTTACGGCTCTGTATACCCCATTTCGTAAGGGCTTACTACATCCCCTTTAAGCTATACTTCTTACCTAGTAGGCATAACGTAAGATCACTAAGATTAGTCTTAATTCTGTTTCATTCTAACAATTATGCTAGTTAATTTACTAGTACCTATGATATAATATAACTCTATTTTCTAGTGAATAAAGATAGTCTATAAGGGCTTATACCCTACACACTATCTTTCTCTATCTATTTATATAATTTAAAACCTTATACTTGTATAATACTTTAAGATATCTTAACAAACCCAACATCGCTATAAATCATACTTTACTTTTCTTTCTTGAGCATAGTATTTTCATTTACTTTTCAAAGCCTTTTATTTATAGTATTATTTACACTATTAAATATTATAGAAAAGAGCTTATATGACTTAAGAACCTTAACCATTCTGAAAAGATTACTTATACCTAAAGTAATAGTTCAAAAGAAAGGTTTTCCTAGTATAAAAGACGCTTTCAGCAAAGAAAATACCCTAGCTTGAGTAGAGCAACTAGATTAAAAAAAGCTACTATTTTCAATTCTCTTACTATATATCTACGCAACTATAAGTATTTCTAGTAGTAAGAAAAGAGTAGCATATCTAATATTTTTGTTTAGTATACCGTGGTTCATAAGCGAGCGGACACCCCAAGCGAGCGGACACCTCCCTACTAGCGCGTCGACGTTTATACTACAACGCGTTGTGTCTTAACTATATTAGATTTAACAAACTTTTTCTAAAGCTAATATCTAACTTGCTATTTTTAATATTTGTAACGGGCTGAACGCCCTTCGCCTCCCATACTCGTCTACGACCTCGTTTACTCCACCTGCCCGGCCCGATTGTTACCCTAGCAACCAGCATTGTATATAGATAGCTACGTAGCCGAGAGCTTAGCTCTCTATCGAATACAATCTTGTTACCTTGGCCTGTCCGATCGTGCTCCTGAGCTTAAGACTACCCTCCGGGGTCGAGCCCCTTACAATATTAATTCCTAACGTGTAAAGAGTGTTGAATATGCTACTAAGATCTATAGCGTCTCTTAAACAACTTTATTTTACTAACGCGTTAGAAGACACTCTTAACGCAACTACAAACTAAATTTGAGGCGCTTAAATACGCTAGAAGAGAAGGCTTTTATTAGGCGTATTCTTAAAGAGTCTACGCGAGGATTTACGCCTATAAAGGCTAAGGTTTAAGTAATATCTAATAAACTATTAAAGAAGCGTAGTAGCAACCTTATTAGTAAGAACTAGGTTAATAACTTTATTGGGCGGACTACTAAGCTCTATACGCGCTAGAGCCGTCACTATAATTACTAGCAAGCTACCTATAAGGATCTAGTGGCTATCCAGCGCTAGTCTAACTTAGTTCAGGCGATAAAGTAGAAGTAGGGTATTATAGACAATAATATCTATAACTTTAATAAAACTAGCTTTATGATAGGCAAGATTTTATTATAGTTATTAATTATAGGCTTAGAAGGATATAAGAAAAAGAAGCAAATATAGTTAAGGAACTACAAGTAGGTTACTATAATTTAAGGCGTAGGCGCATTAGGTTGCTAGATACTACCTTTTATTATTTTTATAGGCAATGTGCTTATTAATGTGTAGTTTAAGGATGTGCCTATTAACTATGTTTTTAAAGTTAGTCTAAATAGCTAGATAAATAATTAGCTTAGTCTTGTAACGGGCTGAACGCCCTTTGGATAGCTCCTCGATGGAATCTCGGGCCAAGCTGCGCGCGCACCATCTGAACTACGTTCAGACCGAGCAGCGCTCAGACAACGCGCTCAGATACTCCGGCATAACCTTTCTCCGATAAGTGGATAAACACCACGTAAGCAGAGTAGATAGCTCCTTATCGAATACAACCTCTTGTATACCTCGCGATTGCTCCCTGGAGCGCAGCCCCTTACAAGTACCTACACACGTCCACGCTATTAGAGTTGTTCTTCTTAGTTAATTATATAGTCACTTAGCGAGATAGCAACCTTGCGCGTGCTAGAGAGCGATTGTCTTCCTTCTCGTGCAGCGGCTAGTACTTCTTAGTAGATAGTGTTATCCTGCGCTACCTATACCTAATATTCTTGTACTAAAGCTAGAAGGTCTAGAGGTTAAGGTAGTGTTTCTAACACTAAAGAGGTTCCTTAAGTCTATATAGGCAGTGCTAGGACGTAGTCTAGCGTATAAGCTAGGACTAGCATTGTAAATTTACAAGAGAAGGCATGCTCGTCCTCTACGTCCTTAAGCATATCTTAATCTTAGCGAGATAGCGCGTCTGCTCTTATGTTATCCTTACCTAGACAATAGCGCAACTTTATGTTTAGGAAGTAAGCAAGCTCTAAGTTCTATTGTACGTGGCGTTTAAACAGCTTCTGCTTATAGGTGAAGTATTCTAAGTTCTTATAGTCTGTAAT